GCTACGGTGACGATAAATCAGGCGATGCGAGATGTTAATACAAGTTTAAGTGAATGGTGTTTTATGTATAGAGAACTGAAACATGTTTTGATTGTAATCAGCGGTCTTATCTCTCGATCCCATTTAGTAATACAATTTATATACATCTCCCGTGTGTACGGATCGTGAGCAACTTTTAAAGAATCGTTGATACTGGGTCGTGGACTGTCTCGTGACGACATTAATTATTCACATCATATAATAATATTGTAAAAACAGAAAGAAACACAAAGTCACTAAGTTGGAGAACCCACACTGTACTCGGGTATTTTGACACAGGCATAATTATATATCTATGATCGAATACCGTGGTTAGAAAGAATTTACTTCTGGCTTTAAAAAAATCGTGTATTGTACTTTTACAAACAATATTAATATATGTGTGAATTTATTCACAAAATTGCTCGATATCAAAACAGGCAAAACCGACTGAAACTCTGTTCGTTCTTGTCCTTATAGCCTGAGTGTACACGCAGCAAATTTGAATATTCATTCTAACTATCTTTGTTGTGTGTATTTTTCCAGTGAAAAATATTGAAATATTATTCAACATTTGTCTGAAACTGATTAAAATCCGATGCGAAAAATAAAATCTAATTTTGTTTATCCTTTTTTTAATTGGGATACTTCATTTGTTTTTCGAAGAGTGGGGATAACAAAAGATGTCCATGTACCAAAAAACAATATGGCGATTCTTTTTTTAAAAACCCGATTGATGCTATGTCAACCATTTCAATAATAATAATCATCGTTTTCTTACTCAACAGATTAGTTACTGGTCAACAAGTCCCGATTTGAGTAATAGGGAACGCTTCGAGTATTTTTCCCGAACAGTTCCGTCTGACTTTTACCAAGCCGGGGCGATGATTGAAATTATTCTCCACTTCAACTGGACGTACATTTCAATTGTGCACGAGGATTCCAACTACGGAGTACAGGGCATATCTGCGTTTACTGAGCTGGCCAGAGAATATGGCATATGTATTGCACTGACTGAGAAGTTTCCAAAAGACCAGGGTCAAGGAAACGAAGACACGTACGACAAAATTGTGAAGAATTTGTTAGAGAAACAAAGCGCCAGAGGTTTGTACATAAGAAAATCTATTAACGCGTATAACTGAAAAAATACGTATTAACACAATATTCCCGACAAGCGACCATGTTCTGTCAAACCATAGCCTGGCCCATGATACTTTTCAATGAAACACACCATATAAGAAAAAACGGAATTGTGCATAAAATTCTGTCGTGTGATATTAAGAGTACACGTGACCGGCGTTATGTTAATTCTACCATATTTAATTAAAAACAATAAATAATATATTACAATACTATACACCCGAAATAGAGGAAACCGCAGTCGCTTTGTAGTGCTGGATTAGTCTAAGATAAAATGAGATATGATAGGGTTACAATAATTTGCATATTTGAAATACGCCAAGTGTCACCTGAGTACTAACAGTCGCAATGTTAGTTGCCGAACATCTTCGTACATATTAACACAATGCTCGAGTAAATTAAAGTAGATAACATTTTTTTTTGTATATTTACACAGTGTGTATGTAGGTCAACCAGAACTACGTGCTCAACAAATACTACTATAATATTATTCTACATAAGCAGCCTAACGTCTCAATAGTTAACAGCGAGAATAACTATTTACACTAAACATACCATGAGAATTGTTACCATCGGTTGCGGACAATGATTACAATGTCGATACGGTCTTTTCAATATTGCATGTATGATTGCTACAAGTGCTCTCTCCACACGCAACGCACTGCATT